CGGAAGAACTGACCCTTCACTCAAGGGATAACTCAACAGATGGAAGCACACCGAAGCACACCAAATGGCACACAACCACAATGCAGCCCCTATGGAGGATCAACAATCGGTTGCAAATATGGAAAATCAGGAAGAACAACAAGAAGAAGAAGAAGAGGAGGAGATCTTACCTCACCTAAGGTAGCCAGCAGTGGCTTTTTCAAGCTTCAACGAGGTAAAAATATTAATATTCTAGGAGAGACTAGACAAGAAGTGTATCTTCAGTTGTCCAGTGACAGTATACAAGTGCTCACTAGACATAAGGCCTTCTCAGGATCTGACGGTGGGGAATAACGTGGTAATCTAGTACCATCACTAAGAAGGACCAATGGACCTCTAGTGAGGGACATTCTAAACAACAACCAACAAACCAACTCCCAAATAATGAATCAAGCAACTAACTTCATTATTTGGAACGTGAGAGGTGCAAATAATAATAATTTAGAAGAAATTTTAGGGAGCTTATGGATATCCACAGACCTTGCATGGTTGCTCAGTTAGAAACAAAAATGGCAAGCCACACCTCTATCTTGGAAGACTTTGACTTCAGTGAAATGATCGAAATGCCAGCTATAGGTCAAGCGGGTGGCCTTGTAATCTTGTGGAATCATAATATGGTAACAGTGAACAACTTCACAAGGAGTGGCCAGGAAATCCATGCTATGATCTAGGTAAGACTTAAACAAATCCCTTGGCTTTTTAGTGCTTTATATGCTAGTACCAATATTTTGGATATGAATGTTCTATGGGGTAATTTGAGAAATATTTCCAATAGGTATAAAGGGCCATGGTTGGTTGTGGGATTTCAATGAGGTTATAGATCACAAGGATAAATTTGGAGGTAGAACCATTAATCAAAATAGGGCCAAGTCTTTAATTAATTGTTTAAACAATTGCAACTTAGTTTACCTAGGTTTCAAAGGGTGTAAATACACTTGATCAAACCATCAGAGAAGGAAAAATGGCTTGATAATGGAAACACTGATAGGGTCTACTCGAATGTGGAATGGTTAGAGAATTACCCCAACATGAACATCACACATCTACCAAAAACTCACTCAGGCAATAACCCTATCCTCATATCCCTTAGGTATAAGATGTACAATAATATTGAGAACCTTTTAGAATAGAAACTATATGGTGCTCTCATCTGGACTTCATAAATATTGTCTATAATAGTTGGAATGGTAGAGACTTTATTGAAGGCACAATTTGTTTTTCAAAATTACAGTCCTTAAGTGGAAAAGGAACACCTTTGGTAGCATCTTCGACAAAAAAAGGAAAATCCTAGCTCGATTAGAGGGTATCCAGAATTCTCCTAAGTACCCGTTTAGTAATTTCCTTTGTAACCTTGAAGAGTCACTAATTGTTGAATATAATGATATCCTCAAACTTGAAGAGGACTATTGAAAACTAAGATCAAGAGTAAATTGGCTAAATGATGATGATGCGAATACTAGATTTTTTCATATAAAGACTACTAGTAGAAGAAGGAGGAATAACATTGTCTATTTCAAAGATGATAATAGAAACTGGTTGGATGATCAAAATGCCATAACGACTCACACAATAAATTTTTTTGCTAAACTCTTCACAACATCCCATGACAATTTGAACTGGTCATACATTAAAAATGATACCCCGAATTTCCATACTATTGATCTATCAAGCCTTGATAAACCTCTTAGAAATCATGAAATTAGGAAGGCTGTTTTCTCTTTCAAGCCATACAAAGTCCAGGTTCGGATGGGTTACACCCTTTCTTTTTTTTGAAAATATTGGCACATAGTGGGTAGTAAGGTTATTAACCTTTGCCACAATGTCTTTCAAACAAAAAAATCCCCCCAGACATAAATGATACTTATTTATGTCTAATCTCCAAAATTAATAATGCAAATAATCTAAAAAAAATTAGACCTATAAGTCTTTGCAATACCATATAAAAATCATTACTAAAATAATCGCAAATCGTATCAAGCCCTTCCTAAATCTTCTTATTAGCCAAGAACATGCTAGCTTCTTAAGAAATAGGCGGGCTAGTGATAATTCTATTATCATTCAGGAAATCATTAGGAAGTTAAACACGTCTAAGGGCAAACCAAGTTTTGTTCTTAAAATTGATCTAGAAAAAGCTTTCGATAAACTGGAAAGGCCCTTCATCTATAGAACATTAAAATTCTTCAAATTCCCTCCGAATATTTCCTCCCTAATCTTAAATTGCATAACTACGAGTAATATTTTAATTCTTGTTAATGGAATCAAATCAAAGACTTTCTACCCATCAAGAGGAATTAGGCTAGGAGACCCTATGTCCCCTTACCTCTTTATCCTTTGTATAGACATGCTTTCAAAAACGATTAACAACCATGTAGACACAAGAAGGTGGGATCCTGTAAAAATAAACCATAACAGCCCGTATCTATCCCACATTATTTTCACAGATGACCTAACCCTAATGGGGAAGGCAAATAATAAAATAATGCTCACCATCCAACAATGCTTGGATAACTTTTGCACCCTCTCAGGACATAACATCAATAAAAACAAGTGAAAAATATTGGTTTCAAAGAATTGCCATCCACAAATTAAAAATACCCTCACAAACTTCTTCGATATTAACATTAGCAACTCCTTCGAAATGTACTTAGGTTTTCCAATAACTCATAGCAAGCCAAAAGCAAAAGACTACCATTTCCTTATAGATAGAATGAGGTTCAAATTAAATAATTGGAATGCCAAGTGGCTCAGTATGGCTGGGAGAAGCACTTTAGCCGCCTCAACACTCTCCCAAACCATATAATGCAATTATCCGTTCTCCCCGCAAAAACTCTTAACACCATAGACAAAATCCAAAGATATTTTATATGGGGTAGCACGACGGGAAAAAGGAAAATGCATCTTATTAAATGGGATATTATTACCAGACCTAAGGAGCTTGGAGGCCTTTGCATCCGGAAAGCAAAGTCAAAAAATCTTGCCATATTAACCAGCCTAGCATGGAGAGCTCTTAATAACCCATCTGCCCTATGGGCAAAAATCTTGATCAGCAAATACAGTAACAACGGAACTACAAAGTCAAGCTCACACACTTGGAACAGTCTCTTAAAAGGATGGCTCAATTGCAACAAAGGTATTCGATGGACGGTTGACAAAAACTCCCTTCTAAATATATGGGATAATAATTGGATCCCAAGGGTCAACAATCTTAGGGAACATATCGTAGGTCCTTTAAATAAAGAGGAATCGTGTTTGAGAAAAGGAGACATTGATGGAACAAGAGAATGCTACCTAGGAAAAATTTCCTTTAAAATCCCAAATGATAGCATTAATCACATAAAAACAGTGGATTTAACCCCTAACCAAAACAATAATTCTCCCTTATGGACTCTCAATAACAGTGGTATCTTCACAATGAGCTCCTGTTATAATCTTTGGGAAAATAACGAGCATAATGACAAAAACTTCAACTGGATTTGGGAGCTTAAGTACCCCAACAAAATAAAATTCTTCATGTGGAAATGCTTTCATGTTAGAATCCCAACCCCTGATTACCTTTATAAGTGTGAAATAAATATCGATCCGGTATGTCCAGTTTGTAAAACCTCAAACGAATCCATAAGCCATATTTTTTTTGGAATGTCATATTGCAAAATCCTTATGGGAATTGATGGGATAGAAAATCACCGCCAATAATGAAAATGTACACTCGATCGATCATCTAAAGGGTGCTAACATAACACCTCACAATCAACATACATCATGGGAAGAATTATTTCCATTCACGCTATGAGTCATTTGGAATAATAGGAACTTTAACAACTAAAACAACACATCCCATGGAATTAACTCAAACAATATTATCAAGCTGGCATTAGAATTCAAGTTCTTAGCTACTAATCCAACAACATATACGATTAAAAAAGATATTAACACAATTTGGTACCCTCCCCAAAAAGGATGGTACAAAATCAATATTGATAGTGCTTTCAACAATGCTTGGAGGCATGGGAGGAGTTTTACGTAATTTCAAAGGGGAATGGATCACCGGCTACCACAACAAAACATATGCACTGACTCCGCTCCAAGTAAAATTACAAGCTCTATAACAAACTCTCAAACTAATTTTGCAGGAGAATCTACTACCCATCGAAATGGAGACGGATGCAACTTATGTAATGCATATGCTTGATACAAACTACGCTACTTATGCAAATTTAATTTCACAATGCAGGTGACTAATGGGTAAAGCAATGCAAAGGGGGAAGTCGTGCTGAAGCATAATTTTCGTGAAGGAAACTTGGTGGGACACCTTTTGGCTAAGGAAGCACTTAAACAGACCAGCATAAATAAATTATGTGTTTTTGTTAAACCTCCAAACTATGTGGTGGATGCCCCACAAAGATCAGGAAGGTTTTTATTATGTAAGAAATACTTTTACTAGTATATGTTGTAAGCTGCCTGCTCTAGGAAATGAAAATGCCCTAGGAGGCATAACTGTAGCCCAATGCGGCAGTAATGAAGACAATGTTACCTAGTTACTACTTTATTATTATTATTATTATTATTATTATTATTATTATTATTATTATTATTATTATTATTTTATATCTATATATATTAAAGAAAAGAAGTTTGCCTCCTCATTTAGCCAAGTGGCAAAATCTTAAAAATACACATTGCAAATTAATTTCTTAAAAATCCAAGTTGTAACAAATTTTTTCGGTCTACAAACAATCAGCAATCCCAAATTTATTGCCTGATTTTCGGCAATAAAAACAGTCAATCCTCCCAAAATTAGTGCCTCTGTTTTGTAAAATTACTATTATTTAATAATCAAAAAATATTAAAAAGTAAAAAAAATTCGTGTGATCTCTGCCTTCCTAAAAAAAATGGGTTTCATAGCATATTTACCATCTAATCTCTTTGTCTTCCTAAAAACATTCCCAATTCTCTTTGTCTTCCTAAAAAAACGGGTTTCAAGATTGCTTACCGTATGATCTCAAGATAAGAAGATACTCATCAACAATAACCAATGTTATGTCTACAAAATCATACTCAAGCAACACTTCCTCAGATCTGAATCTTTATTAACTAAAATTTAGGGATTTCTACATGGAAAGGATTCTCAATCAAGGTATGTTTATCCTCCTTAATTTTGGAATTTNTATATCAGCAATATATCGAGTAACAAGATGAGTTGGAATTTGAAGGTACGAGTAGTGAGATTGTGGCATGTTCCAGACCGCGATAAACCAGACAACACCGTCTCCCTTGAATTAATTATTCAAGACGAAAAGGTGTATTCTTTTTTAGTTGCATTTATATTTTCCCGTAATTTGACTACAATCTCCATCTTCTGCTTTGTACTATGAAATTCATTAGGTTACGCGTGTATTTAATCAACTACAATTTTAATTTTTATGATCTAGATGGAGATACCTCGAATACAGCTTTTCCATATATATAGATTAGGTGTAAATGATGCTAACTCTTAATCTGCAATTTAGTATTTTATGTGCGAGAACTTTTTGGGATATCTAATATGTTGTATGTGTTATTTTGGAAAGGCAAGCATTCACATATAGGATTTACCCATTGATGCTTCACTGTTTAATATACTCTGTGACAACACTGTACAACTGAGTATTTGTCTGACTCAATATTAATTATGATTATTTTTTCTAGGGCGATCGTATTCATGCGACTGTTGGTCGGTCTCTTATACGTATGTTCAAACCAAAGATACAAGAATTGGGTTTGTACTTTATGAAGAACTTTGTGGTTGGACCAAATTATACGAAACTTAAATACACGCGGTATAAATTGAAGTTGACATTTACTCATAAGACGATTGTAGAGGAAGCAAATGATCATCTTTTTGGTGTGAGTATCTTCGACTTAAAACCTTATGAGTATTTGATAAACAAAATTGATGTTGAAGAAAGTGAACTCTTCGGTAAGTATTCAATTCACATTTCTTTTATTTGAATGTCTTATCAACTTTCTCCGGATCATTTTTTTAAATTATTATAGATGTCATTGGAGAGGTTATAAGTTATGGTGAAGTAGAATCCCATAACCAAGGTGATAAAAAAGCACTTATATGAATGTGGAACTTGAAGATCATGAGTAAGATTGCGTCTATGAATTACTTTGTTATATATTAACATGATAACTTATCATTGTCTGATTAAGTTGTTATATAAATTACACAGGAGAAATAATATCTCGGCAACATTTTGGGGAGAATTCGTTGACCAAATCTTGCCACATTTAGAGGGATCACCCCATCAGCCGGTCATAGTTGTTATGCAGTTGATAAAAGCTCACAAATTTCAAGGTATTTCTATTGTTTTGATGACATGGGATAAATTTTTTATGTTAATTTTTTGGTTCAGAAACTAAAGTTATATATAGGCAAATATTCTGTGCGTAATACTTGGCATGTCTCAAAGCTCTGGATTAACCCGGATCTTCCTCAAGCTGTTGATTTTAAGTCCAGATTAGTTATTTCATAAATTAAGTTTATGTGGATACTATGCAAATAATTGTTTATGGTTAAAAGTAATACAACCTTGCGTAAATACAGATTGGCAAGTGTGAATGAAGCTAACTCTGCCAGGATCAGTCAAATACCTTCTTAGCGTAGTTATTCTCTTTCTGATGAGTTGGCTACTGGAACGGTAGAAGTTAAAACTATTAGAGAATTGGTCGACTGCATGGAGGTGACTAATCTATTAAACTCCTTTAGTATTTAACTAATGTTATGTTGTGTATGTGTAACGATCTGACCGGTCGTTTTGAGCTCTAGCGCATCGTTCAGTAGTTGGAAGTCATGAACAACTTTATTTTAGGTATATTGACTTGTACGTATGGTCAGAGTTGAATTTCGGGAAATTCGGAGTCAAATTGGAAAGAAACTTTTCATTGCGGCAACCTTAAGTTGAAGAAAATGGCTAAGATTGGAATTTTGAGTAAACGACCTCGGAATTGGGATCTGAAAGTTCCAGCATGTTTGTATGATGATTTCGGACTTGAACGTATGTCCGAATTTGGTTTTGGATAACCCGTGAGCATTTCGGCGTATATTGTGGAAGTTAGTATTTTAGAAGAATTTCATAAATTTGGGTTGGAAGGCATTTCAGAGTTATAGATGTCCGTTTGGGATTCCGAGTCTGGGAATAGCTCCGTATGGTGATTCTGGAGTTGAGAGAGTGATCGGAAGTGAATTTGGATGTCCGGAAGTCATTTTGAAGTCATTTGGCTAAATATAGAAATTTGAAGGTTTTTGAGGAAAATTCGACCGGAAGTGAAAATTTTGATATCGAGGTCGGCATGCGATTCCGAAAGTTGGTGCAAGTCCGTAATGTCAAATGTGACTTGTGTGCAAAATTTGAAGTCATTCGGACTAGTTTTGGTAAGGTTTGAGACACTTAGTCTCTTTTAAGGAAGCTTAAGTTGGAAAAGTCAA